AAAAAAAAAAAAGCACAAACCCAATAGAGGTAGGGGAGTCGGAGAGATAAAGTAGGACAGATCACACAAACACAATTTTGTACAATCAGTATTTTATATTTTTTTGCATTTTACAATTCATCAACATGCACTGCTTTACCCTAGAAACACACTCAACACCACACTACCAATAAAACAAATCACTTCTCAAAAATCAAATGAATAATGGCAAAATGATTTTTTATAGTATTTACATTTTTTTCCCGTTAAAGTCAGCTCTAAAACACATTTTAAGTTCATTGGTGAAATAAAAGGAAAGTTAATCATTAAAGTGCTCTAGAGCACCAAGCCTCAAACAAAATATAAACTTCAAGCTAAAATATACTGTAGTTTTATGATGCTAGCTCACACCCATTATTCCAGCAGAAACGTTTTTTTTTTTTTTACGTTTTTTTTAAACATTTTAATTTTATTCAATAGCAAAAAGCAATTAAGAACTGCAATGCTTACCTAAGACTATTCCATCCATCAAATACATGGAAAAATAAAAATAAATTATACTACTTCTGGTTGTAAAATGGGACGTCAAGTGTCCCAGATGAATTTTTGCAGGCTGTAAATTAAACAAAAACATTGTAGTTTAGCTGCAATGTCTGTCAGAGAGTAAAAACATTGTTATGGAGCAGCAGCTTTGGTGCGAGTCCTTCACTAATTTTAAGTGCCCCTATTATGGGTTTTTTTTTTTGGTTTGTCCTCTATCCTTTAGTCTGTAATAGTCCTCACTCCTGATGAACTACTTGAAATGCCTCTTTTACAGTCTAGGCTTTTTTCCATGACTTGTAACAATGTCCACCTTGTAGCTGTAGTCAGTCAACCATCCCCCCCAGTTTCCATTAATCTGACAGTATCTGAACATGTTAGCTTCATGTGTGAAAGAGCACCTTTTCACTTTTCAGTGAAATCTCAGACTAAAATCTTACAGGCGTAATGTGACCACACATGAGTAGCGGTCACTTTTAACGGACAGGCACGCACAGGTTATGACTGTGCACGGCGTTAGTGCATCTTTGTGAGTCACTGAGCTCACAGTCAATTCCCTAAACGGCAATAGCATGAACATTTGATCTCAGCCACTCCCTTTCTCAATTGCAATAACAATAAACATTTCTCCATGATGAATTTTTGCTATCAGAGCCTGTGTGGGAGGGGTACGAGCTCTCTCAGCAGCACCATGCAGCACACAGACTGATGCCAATGAAAGACAGAGCTAAACATTCACAAGTATGGTTACACTTTGCTAAACATCTCCCTAGAAAAGCAACAGTTCTTTTTAGCAGGTTTAATGTGGCTCTTTTGTCATTGTTGTGGAAGAGTATGAAGGAAGCCAGAAGGAAAGAATTCTAAGGGGACCTGAGTGTGAATGACTAACAGCCTGATGAAGCAAGCAATATTACTATGTGCACTGTGATGTCACCTACAAGTGAGCAAACCCTGGATAATCCTCCTTTCTGAAACGTAGCACGACCAAACACACATTTTTCCCACAGAAAAAAATGCTACCTCCAGATGAACACATTCAACCTTCTGGGATTTCTTTAACTGGGTGATTGAGGAAAGTGTTTTCACTGGTCAAATCCAAGGGCTCTTTTCCATTAGACTTCTATAGGACCATATGTTTTTGCAGCCACAGGTATCGCCCCCTGGTGGCTATTTAAAACAAATAGTTTTAGCTCTTTTCCTCATAAAGACAACATTTATCTACTTTCATTGTATCCTTAATGACGAGGTTTGATACCTCAGTACATATCAATAAAGACGTGGTTTGACGACCATTACAACAGTTTGCGGGTTTCTCCGAGGGAAGCTGCATAAGCAGAGACCAACCTCACTACCGTCTATTGCACACCCAGTCATCTTGTTCTATAAGCAGGCATGAAATATGATCGGAACCATTCGGCTCCGACAAGAGCATCAAGGGTTACTTCTAGTAGGCTTTAAAGGGGTAAAGAGATAAAACACTTCCACACTGGCTTCACTCCTTAGAGCTAAAAGTTGCATCCTTCTCTTATACTGTCTATGGTTTAGTGTTAGCATGGTGTATGTTACGATCACGCTTGTTTCTTTAACTCTCCATGATCACATGTACTGCATTAATGGAGCCAAATTCCCAGAGACTGTGCTTTTCCGGACAGAAAGGAGCTAAAAGCAGAGCCTTACAGACAGACGGTGCTGCAATAATGGACAGAATGGGGGAAAACATGTAAACCTAATCTAGCAGACCCCCCCAAATAAAATGATAATATGGGCACTTTAAGACTCAACTTTGATTGTCATGATAAAAACAGAAGTTTACATCCTCAGAAAAGAAAAAAAAAACAAACAAACCTGCAACTGTTTTCAAATTTAAACACATCTGAATCCCAAATAATCAATTAGGAAGACTTTTAAAAAAGCAGAATGCCGACTATTTTACTTAATGAGAAAACGCCCGACATCCTGCTGTATCCGATTAGTCACACTGTGTGCAGTGTCTGTTATCTTGGCAAACTAGAATCACAGTTTAACAGCCCTATATAGACCAGCGCGGCTTACATATCGTTGAAATCAAAGTATTTGTTGAATAGTTTGGCATCTGAAAAGGCAAAATGCAGGGAATGCATTTATTTTTGTAAACGTTATGAGCTGTCAGGTGAACACATTCAAGCTCGCTGCCTATGCTTTGCTTTTAAATGAAATGCACTGATAAAAACAATCAAATCGGATCAACCACGCTCAGTCTCTCTTCACACCCAAGCAGTTTGCCTCTGAAACGAATGAGCGCTGCAGCCGCCCCACTTTGCTTCTTTTCAAACCCACGCTTACGGGAGGGGAGCTTTATTTATTTGGTGCACCACTTTCCTTCTTCCCAGCTCTGGCTTCTGTCTTCTTGCCCTGTGCAGATGTTGTCGCTGCTGCTTTCTGGGCTTTGTCTTTGGGCGTGGTCTGTGCAGCGGCGGAGGCTGAGGCAGACTCAGCTGAAGTGCTGGAGGATTTGGAGGCCTGTGCGGGCTTTGAGGTAGTGTTGGAAGGATGTCTCCGACGCCTCCCTTCATCCCCAGCCGAGGACGAGGTACGCCTCCTCCTGCTGCCATCGTCTCCTATCGGGGGCTGCAGAGAGTCGTCACAGGAAAACAAAGCGTAACTAGATCACTCACGAGAATTGTTTATTTTTGCTGAGAACAGATGATACAGTTCTACGACTGCAGGCGCAGACTGAGCAGCTCCGAGTCTGTTAGTGTTTCAGTATGAAATAATGATGTTAGAATAATTTTATATGAGGATATACTAGCTTCTCTTTTCGTTAATAATTCATTTAGCCCAATAAAACTTGCAGGTAAAGAGCACTCTAGTGTGGCGATAACATGAAGCATCCTTTCAAACTTGTAGCCAGCAGACACTCACCACCACCCTGAAGTCCTCCAAGTTCTTGAACTGCGAGAGGTGTTCCTGCAGCTTCGGATCAATAGGCTGGTTCTTTATCTTTGAATATTTCAAAAAGGCCCAGAACTTCTCTAGTCCATACAGCTGACCTGGAAAGGGAAATGCAAGGAAGAGCGGTTTCATTCAGTGTTGAATTCTAGGTAAAATTCAAATGCCTAAATGTAGGGGACATTTTTCTAGTCAACTTGTATCAAAAGAAGAAAAACAAAGGGGGGCCTAGCAAAAAAAAAGTTTGGGAACCACTGGATTAACTGGTTTTCAATTCCAATTTTGTACCTCCTAATGTGCATGGTCATTGTCATAGCAATGCGTCCGAGTGTCCTGTGACATAATTAAATGCAACGTAAGTGCTACAATAAAAGTGGACGTCGAGGCAAGAATGCATCTGTATATATACTCTGTGTCTGTGGCTTTTCATCAGAATCGAGGACCACACTGCCGGGTTGGAAAAATGGCGGTTTTGAGTTTCATGAACTCAAACTCGCTCTCATGATTCCACTGACCAGCCAATTGGTGACATGCAGTCTTGCTTGGATCGCTTGGCTGAGCTGGTACTAAAGAAGTACCAGGTACTATGACCTAATGCAAAACCCTTAAAAAACCGTGGTGAACTGTGGTGAGGCGATCTGAGTAGGTACTAATGCAAAAGGGGCTTAAGAATTGGAGCCCTATTCTAATGCTATGTATAGCGTTTACTGCTACACTGTGAGTAGAGCAGTCACAGGAAATGGAGGGGGAGAAAAAACAGACTTAACAGTGAGATATCAGTTGAGTCTTTAACCTCCTTGCTATGTGGTTCCATCAGATATTTGATAAGTAAAGACTGCATGTAGGTTTTAGATTTTCATTCTGTATCTGTCGGTATGCAGACATGCTTGCACGCTCAGTGTAGCTTTTTAAACAAGGGCTTCTCTCATTAAATGTGTTGGAAACATGCTGCAGGTAAACTTATTTGTAATCACATTACAAATGAAAAACTCTCTAAAAGACTCTAAAAGTCTTTGAGTAAAACTGAAGTCAATCTTGAGTGCTTGCAAGAATCGGAATCCAAACTAGCAGATTTAAACAGCTCAGATCTACTTTGATCTGAAAGCCAGCTCTTTTAATTTAGTCTGCTAATACCGGCTACTTGCATTTTCATAAAATTAATATAACAAATACTATTAGTGGTTAGGTAAGAGGGAATACACGCCACATGTACTGTAGCAGAATGTTTTATAAAGATTGGTTGAGTCTAAACAAAAACAACCACAGTTTGTTTGCTTCACTGAGTCAGTGTTGAAATGGACTGAGAGAACTACATTAATGCCCTCTTCTCTTTACACACTTCCACATTAAACTGAGAGGGTCAAGTGAACCAAAGCTAAGTCACATGTTGGCCTTCTTTAGCATTTTTATATTTAATTATATGTAAATACTGAATATATTAATAGAATGTTTAGAATTTTGGTGTTTTTATGAAGCATTTATTAACCCGCTGGGGGTTTACAGCGGGAAGAACGGCAAAAACGGCGTTTTCTACGGACAGCGCTAGCAAACGCTCTCCGCTTGCGAGTGAAAAAAGAAAAAGAAAAAACATCCCTTCCCTATTGGTGTTAAAGTTTAT